TATATATGTCCCTCTGGAGACATTTTTTACACAGCTGTTAAGGAACTTTTTCGTTGATACGTTCATAACATCATTTGTTCCTAAAATTGAGCACTTCATCATCATCATTTTATACCCCAGAAGAAGTAGGCCTACGGTATGCTTCTTTGGGCGGTTTCGCTTGCGGTGATCAAACCGTTCGTCGAGAACCTTTCCTAACAATTGTCGATCCTGTATCACTGCTAGAACTTGTGCTCTTTTAATGTCTTCAATCATTTTCCCAAATATCACGTGAATATGGTACTTCTGATTCCATAAATAACATTTATTTCTGCCACCTAAAACCTACCTAAACCTACCGTAAAACCTTGAATTGAAGGACTGGGCTTCTTTCTTTGCCAATTTTGGATGGGCTTCTTTCGAGATGGGATTCTTTTCCAGGCTACTTTTGCAAAGTAAAGAGGGCGGGTGGGGGGCGCTTTTTTTTCAAATGAATGCTGTAAACATTCATAAAGCTGATAAACAGACACTTCTCACACGGACACAAGCTCCACAAAATATTCAACAAAAACAACGTGAAAATAAGTTACTGCTGCATGAAAATCATGAATTCCATCATCAAGGGACACAACTCGCAAATCATCAAAAAGGAAGTTAAAGGAACAAATTCAAAAACATGCAGCTGCAGAAATAAAGAGAACTGTCTACTACGCGGCGAATGCCTAAACAGTGCACTGATATATAACCGTATTAAAAACAATAGAGTCACTAACCGCTCCATGATGAACAATATAAATAGGATAACAACATCTAGGCCTAATTACAGTTGTCTGATGATCGCCATTAAGCGTGAAACTCGGAGTAACAACAACTCATATTTATACCTAGCGTAAATATACTATACTATATATATAAATATATATGTATATATATATATTATGATTTATATATATATCATTATATTATATATGTTATATTTTCGAATGCTCGTGTCCAAATTACAATGCCGTCTGGTTTACCCCTTTGGTGTTACACGTGCATTAGTAAAGTGATCCATGCACTAAAGACAGGCAGATCATGGTAGAATTGCATATTTCATTATTATTGTTTAACTTTATTCACACATAGATGACAGCCTTAATATCTGAAGCTGGGAATATGATCTAGAATCTAAGATTAAGGAATGCTCTTCATTAGCGAGGTTTTCAAAACTCTTCCTTCAAAATCACATCCATAATTATTAGGCCTATCAATTCCAAATCACATTTTTTTGGGAATGATTTTGGCAATGGCCTTTATTAGTGAGGTCTTCAAAACTCTTAAAAATTGCATTCAAAATTATTACTATCAATTCCAAATCACATTCTTTTTGGATGATTTAGAGCAATATATTACTATTTATGAGTATACATTACTGAGAACCTATCAAAGAAAAACATGGATGCATTATTGAAACATTTTAAATAATTGTTAATTAATTTAGAATCATTAATCTCCCCGCTCCCCTTGATGAACACAGCTAGGATTGTGTATCTTACCCTAGGCCCCTTGAGTGGGTGAGTTCAACATACTCAGTGATCCAGCAGTGTCACTTAAATTCCACCGTTAGCGAGCCTCCTAGCCGCCGCAGCTTTTATCCAAACACTTGATTTATATAACAAGCTTTAAGTTCAAGAAGACTCCGCAACTTTCATTTGTTCTTTTTAATTGTACTGTTAAAATAAGTTCTGATGGATTTGACAGCTGTGATATTTTGATTGGTTTTCTTTTCGTTGTTTTGTTTCTCGTTTCACCCATGTTTTCATTTGGAATTGAGGGTTGCAAAGCTCACAGCTAAATACCATTAAGCAGCAGACATTTTTGCAGCAATTATTTAACGTCTATAGGTCAAATAAATTAAAAACAAAAAGCAATTACATGTAAATTATTAAAATTATCATTAATATTAAGTGATTTGAGGCAATCGAGAACTTATAAAGTAAATCAGTTGGAGAAAGAACCCGGCTGTTGCTTTAAAAGCTTTCCGACAACACTAGTCTTCACGAATGGCAAGTGATGCCTAGTTTCCATACAATCGCTACACAGTCGTTGCCAAAGGAGTCGGCGATAGCTTGTAGCTTTTTTATGGAAACCAGAATTTAGTAAGGGTAGGAAAGATCTGATAGAAAGAGACATCACCTTTAAGAAACAGGGTTTTAAATACAATGTATATCGTGTTCAAATGAATAAATAACACAATGAAGACACAAGCATATCATTATAGATGATTATTACGATGATGTAGAGCTTATGATAGGCCTCCCAAACTACGGGAGTACGTGAGAAAGTAACTTGGGAACAGGCATAGAAAGCGCCACGCCAATATTTTGTTTTAATAAGCGCCGCTCTCGACTAAGCGCCGGAATGAAGCCTTCAGCAATTATAAGCGCCACGGCGCTTATTCGAGGATCAGTAGAAACATTTCGACATCGCTCTTAAGATCTTTTTTTATATCAAAAATATTTTTTGT